TGGTCATCCTGAAAATGTAGAGCTTGCTCAAGCTTTATTATATTTTTTGTTCTTTTACTTTTGATTAATAATTGAATGATGTATGTTTCAGTGGTTTCAGTTCCAATAGATAAATTACTATGGAAGTATCCAATCACGCATGTTGCATGTTGTGCATACATTTTCTCAGAAATATGAATGCCTAGCGAGGCATGATGTGAGTCTTTCTATGATAATTTTATTCGAAATCTAAGCGGGCGGCGTCGGGGCAAAGGCTAGTGACGAATAAAAATGCAAATATGTGTATGTGAAGCATAAAATGAGAATATGATTGTGTTATGTAGCAATTCCCCGCGTGGTGTGCGTGACTCGCTAAGCAATGTCGTGGATGATCGGTTCGTCATAGTGCACCGTCGGAATTCATCGCGGAGCGTGAGCGGCGTTTTGGCTCCGGCCGGCTTCTCGCGCCATTTGCATATTTCTATATCCCGGCTCTCTAGTTGTATGGCTCGCACGTGGCCGGCCTAGCGGCTGATCTGCGATATAATGGAGATGTAGCACATGTTGCCATAACATTTGCATGCCGCCGCGCCTCTTACAAACAACTTGCGCCCTACATGTTGTTTGCTTTGTAAACTTTGTATTATTTTAATATAACGGTCCCCAATTTTATTTTGGTGCAATGAAATAGCACCCAATCTGAGCCGTTCAAATAATATTATCTGAATATCAGTAATTTTAATTCATTGCCTATAAATTCAAATTGAGCCCTATCAGGTATTTCTCATTCTTGCATCAATTTGCTTTCTTTCATAATTAATGTTTTCCATTCAGACAGCACATAAACATCCGCTTGTCCCATGTCGATTCAAGTCGTTGAATGGAACGAGCTTGATATGTGATAAATATAGCGTTTCACGGCTTCCAATACTCAGAAACACGTTTTCTTCTTAAGGAGCGCGGGGTGCAAAAATTAAACGTCAGTCAGCTATCACGTAGCCGACGGAGCAGAACGCCTCAACCCTCCGGGAGCGTCTTCCGTCGATTTTACAGGGCTCTCGAACGAACGCCAAAGCTCTGCTCGGCTACAATTTATGCTAACGCAAACCCGCTTCGCCGTCCGCCTAGATGTAAAAGCTTCCTTTAGCTTCATTCCACCTCTAGCGCCGAGCCACTCTAAAAGGAATTCTTGTTTCCAATCAAAGTGAAGAACGTAATTAAAAATTCAAATCTATCTTTTAATTGAATTGAAAACGTTTAAAGCGTAAAACTAGATTCAAATCATCGACATACAACTAGTTACTTTACTACTCTACACGCACTCGGAACCTATTAAAAATAGCCGTATAAACTGTCGCAACTTCTCTAATGAAGTAACCGCACAAGTTGGAGATTATCCTCATATCGATGGAGCGTACCGGTCTCGACATAAATCTAAACTCGGTTCAGAAGTTACAATACTCGGAGTACGCGACGCGCGGTTAATTCTCCATGATGTCAGTAGAGAATTTTGAGTCACAAGGACCATTCCAGCATCGTGATCGCTCGAGAGTCGTACGCTCGAAATGAAACGTCGTATCTTATTTTATGATTAGCGGCTCGAAAGCGCTTTGTAATTTTGTTAGTTCCGCCTTTCTGGTGCTGGGGGCGAGCTCAGCGAGTGGAGATCGATGCGAGCATTGCGCCCGAGTGCGAAAGAGAGGCAGACAGTCGATGCTTGCCTCGTCCCTGTCGCACGAACCGCCTACTAGGCAGCCATGTTGCGCTCGACCTGCGCTCGCCCGACCGCCATTGTAGCATTCGTAGCTAGTGATGTCCTCGCTTCTCTCTCGATATTGATATTGCGCTCGTTCATCATGCCACGATATGGACGTGGCCGTGATTTGTTGTACTACTTTAAATCCATTTCAATTTGATAAACATTTCATGCACCGGTACGCTTTGATATTTATAGATATTGAGATGCAACAATTCTATATTTAGATGACGTACGATGTCAAAACACATTGTATAGCAAAATACAGTCAAATTGAATGTTGTTCCACTGTGCATAGGAAAGTTCGCTATATCGATAAAAAGTTGTCGATAAGAAAAGGCATGCAGTGGAGTCGAAGCCGCGGCTTTGGAATTAAAATGTCAGACGTGCGGCAGCGCGGGCTCGCGTGGGGGCTCGCAGGGGCCGCGGGGCGGAGCGGGCGGCCGCCGTTATTAATAACCATAAGCCGGCAGACGCACGAACGTCCAGAGGGGCCACGCCAGCCGAGCGGTAATGAGGAATCACTAATTATGTTTTACTGGACTGTACCGCACTGCGATGTTAATGCTTTATTGCAATATTCTTCCATAAATGTCTCTCATTTATTCCAGCGAAATATCAGATAACGTTTCAATCGGAGCGCTATTGATGGCCATTCGCTATTGGAATATTACTCTGTCACTCGCCTAGCAATCACATGTCGTATAGTTCGTTTGTATTGCGTTCTGAGGCAGAATGGCAAGATATAATGTAGCGCTGGCGGGCACGCTCCGTTTAATATTCCCCCGCTGTAGGCGCGCCGGTTGCGCCCGACAGCTCTACCCGTTCGCTAGCCCACTGTTCGGCTCCGCCAGTAAAAAGCCCGTATATTTTATTGTCAGGGAAATATATTTGTCAAAGGCTTTGCGATTAATCGCTTGACTTTGCCGAAATGGACTTCGAGATTTTTGTTGGATTAATTTTGTTGCGAGATATTAATAACACTATCTTTAGGTTACTGTATAATCATGACATTCATGATATTAGAATACGTAATCTGAGGGTCATACAAGTTCCCCACTTAGTAAGTTGATAACCAGTCTCCCCAACCGGTTCCGTTTGAAACTTTGTTTTCAATTATCTCCTCGGCCAATCGTGTCTAAATTAAACGTTGTCATCGCATTCGCGTAAACTCATTCTCGGAAATGTCGCCGCTCCACACCGAAGTTACTTTGCGCCGGGTCCTTGTTTTTCGCTGCACATAAAGAGCAAGTTATCGTTGGCAGCACTTTGCTCTCATAATAACAAACTGCAAAATGCTCCGGATTCTCCGAACTTTACTGTGGTAGCGCCCGCTCTCGGCTGGAAACCTCTAAAGCGCTGACTGTGAGGCGTACATTCTCTCCTGCGGCGAAGTCACGGTGCAGGGCTGTCGGGAATTGCGGAGTTGGATAAATTATGCCGCTCGTTCCCTTTTGCAATCTCAGCGAAATAATGCAATTGAATTGTCGAGAGCATGACAACCTTTGTGTTGTATTGTTACTCTTCATTAAATAATTTCTGCTCTATTGCGTGTACCGTAAAGCTTTGCGCAGCCCTACTCGGAATAAACGTCAAAACATTACCGGTGCGATGCCGTGATTTAGTGCGGGCGAGTTGTTGTTTGCGGATAGTCTGACTAGATTTCTTTGAGGGCGTTTTGCTTGTCATTCATAACGAAAACAGTGGCAAATTTACGTCCCTCCCTATTGAATTTTAAGTGATATTAGCGTGTTATTGTTGTCAAGTCTTCAATTACGCTAAAAGATTAATGCACAATAAATGCAACTTGCTTTGTTGTAAACATTAATGTGCTAATTATCCCCAATAGACCAATCGTCGCACTTGTAAACAAGTAGAACGTTTGTCGCATTTAATAAACCCAAATCCCATTTTTAATTATTACTCCGTGCCGGTTAACTGTTTGGATTACTTTGAGTGGGTGGACAAAGTTTATAAAGTCTGGCCAGCGGCTTACTGTGATGCATGAAACTAACTTTGGGCTTAAGCTCGTGAACTTTTTGTCATTGTCGCTTGCACCAAATTGCAATTTAATTTCGGTGTCCAGCGCGTTCAGTTTTTTGTTTAAACTAATGTTTGGCTAATGATAGCGCCCAGCGGCTATATGTGCGGCATATTTAGTAAATACAGTCCGTGATTACGTGAGTCCCGAGGTAAGTTAGGTTAGCGCCAGTCGTGACACCAGTAAATTAAAACTGGCGTTTGCAAATACGGCCTGCCCGGGAACACTATGCCATTTTCAGGAAATGAAATTCCAACTCTGACTTAGCCGTAACTAGGTTTAGTGTTGCTAATGCTGTACAGACATGTAGAGAATGCATTTTAAACCAACTAAATTAGTAAAAAAGCCTTTTTTTTATTCTGTTACTCAAGTTCTGAGGGAGAAAGCTGGAACAACACGGTAAAAAATATAAATATCCTTTATCATTTTTTACACTGCTAAATGTTAGATGGAATAAATAAACAAGTAGGTATTTTACTTTCTGCTATAAATTAAAAACAAAAATCCTTTACTAGTTCATTAATAAAACGTGAGGTTTTCGAGAAAGAAAAAGAAAACCCCCTTCAACCTACATAAAACTGTTGTACAATCATGTCGTCCCAGTTTTATTCCGCCGCCAGCGCTGGAGTACTTTACAACACACTTTCCTAAAAAAGCTTATTAAAAGAACATCGTACTCTTGTACAAACATTTTCTCCCGCTCCGAACGATCTGAATGTTTTTTAGTAGAGCCAGTATGGAATAGTTGCCGCGGCCGGCGTCGTTTTCAATTAGCCGGCGTCGACGGAGTTGCTGGCGCGCTCATCATCTGATTCGACGTCACGATCCAACTTATTGCCTTTTTTATCACATTCTATCTGAATAATGTCTAACCCCATTCCTTCAGTATAAACTTCTTCAACTTTTGTATAAAAACGATTGCGACTCGTTGCGATTGTTAGACATATCAACAGCCTCTTTTGACATCATTTATCGTATTAAAAATCTTTTAAAAAAGAAAGTTAAAACCAAATCATTGTGTAGTTTTAGATAAACTTTTTATGCCTTTACTGAAATTACGTTCAATGTTATTGAATTCACGACTTCCAAAAAAATCAATAGAACTCTTCCATCCATTATTGTCGCTGTTACCTACTATTAAATCGAATCACATAATGTAGGTTACCAGGCAAACAAATCGAGTTGTTTTGCTATTCAACTGAAGTATAATTTTATTGTTTCTAGGGTTATCCACCGCCGCCAAGGCCACCGCAACCGTCCACACCAAATGCTCATGATCCTGACTCGGTAAGTGACTGTGTTTATCATAATGGAATCAATTGAAAATATCTCGTACGAAACCTATTTATTGGGATTTATCTCTTGGCTATTTATTTGACTCGAGTAGAATCTCGAAATTTTGACCTGTCAGATTTCGTTCCTATATTATCGTAGAATCAGGCCGGGGAAAACTTTTATAAAAATATTATGCTACTAAAATCAATCCGCGAGCCCACATCGACTGTGACTCAGCTCAGAGCCGCATTAAAACTCTATTATCAGTCGGTAAACACGCGCACCGAGCATTAGTACCTTTGTCCAATGTGAGCCTCATAATAATGATCGCTCCAAGAATAACTGGGATATAATCCAAGCTCAAACTTCACACAAACGAAGGATTACGTGCCATTAGTTAAACTTAGACTCCGGCATTCTCTAAATTAGACAGCTGAACGACTGAACAATGGTGTACAAAAAATGGAATGACACAATATTATGGTCTTCTTTTTGTCTTCAAATAGCCCCGAGCCATATTGTGCTTTACAGGCCGATGCTGAAATGGTTATAGTATCGGAAAATGTGTATCGATTTATCTATTTTTGCCTAGCAATGGCAAAATGACTTAGCGCGCCTCGGCCCCGCTGGCTCGCTGTGCGCTAATGGTTGAATAATGTAGGCAGCCAGTCACGTAAACAGCAAAGTACAAAACGCTGTTTGTAATGAGAGCGCAGTTTCTGTTTATATCTTGTCACGTCGCGTATGACTGCGGGATGATTTATAATGGCGGTCGTTTTCGCGCATATTCGGGTACGGCTAAAATATGAAATGTGACATTGCTTGAAAGGGACTAGCCTACTGATATTTTACTTTAAACAGGTGCACAAACTAAATATCTTGGGTCACTATACCCATGCCTAAAGGAATTTTTCAGGTTTCCACTTTCAAATAGGCCGCACGCATTGATAAAACACAAATTGAATACATTTTCTTCATGACATTTCATTGGCAGTAGCAGGTAGTTTCCCTTTTTTTAAAACGATCTTTGCTTTTTATCATTTGTATGTGTTTCTTTTTTTTACTTTTGCGAAATATATCCATCCCCTGCATTGTTTGAAATCTACAGTTAATCCTCGTTTAATTGGTCCGATTAATTTTATCTGACTATTGAAACGCCAGCCATACAGCAACTAATTATCGTCTCTACATTGCGCAAATGTGGGGGTTGTTCGCATTGCTTAACGATTTACATTCATAATGTAAAATGTTATGTAAAGCGCACATAAATATAAATAACTAGCTGACCCGGCGAACTTTGTTCCGCCTTAATGGCAATAAATAAGCAGACTTTTTTTTGTTTCGAACGGGATAAAAAGTATCCTATGTCCTTCTCCTGGCTCTACACTACCTCCCTGACAATTTTCAGCTAAATCGGTTCAGCCGTTCTCGAGTTATAAGCGAAGTAACTAACACGACTTTCTTTTATATATATAGATTATATATAGATTAACCATATATAGCAGAAGAAGTCTCACCAAAACGTTAATGCAGTGCCTAATGGTATTATTATGCACGTTTGAGCCGAGATTTGATGTTTTACCTAACGATTTTATAATAACTCTGGCCACGCTGACTGAATAACACCTCGTTATTTTCGTATCTGAGTGTCTAATTTTATTTCCCGTAATGATGTACAAACTGATTAATGGGATCACATTTTGACGCGAAATCTGCGTGTTAATTATTGGACCCGCCCCCGCGGGTTATCGAGTTATTGAATGAGCAAGACTGATGTGTTGTGTGGCGTCGTTTAAGATAGCGTGTTGTTTTCTGCAAACATTATTTCATTTTATGAAATACCTACACAGATATTAGACAAACAGAATTAAAGCGTTAATTAAAAACGATAAAGTATAAACACAATTTTATTTACATTCACATTTCCATGTAAAAATTATCGTAGTTTATCTTGAAACGATAAAGGTTTGTTTAGATGAGCTGCTTTTGATTTATAATTCGACTACATCGCTGAGAGTAGACCAAAGTGCTCTGTGAGGAACTAAATATTTGTTGAAAGGATAATCTGGAAAGTACACCGACCCGAGCGACCCCTTTCATGTGACTGTTTTAGCATTTTACAACTATTTTAATATTAACTCGGACACTTAACTATATTTATACAAATACAACTCGGGATCTACCTATTTATATCGCAACATTTTACTTGCTCTACTTTTTACAGTGATATGACCGATTTCATTTTTTTACTGTTTTTCATTGAATTCGAAAGTGTTTGTAAAATAATATCTATAAGACCATTGACATTATTTACGATATTTGCAATTCAGAGAACGACAAAACGCTTTATGAACGATTGTTCAATGCTCCGATAAAACCAACCTTTGCGCAATGTACGTAATGTTACGGGTAGATTGGATACACCCAGCCGTGGGCGCACCCCAGCGCGAATAAATACGATCCTGCCGATAGAAAACTGTTAGCGACGGGCTTATAAAGCCTAAGAACTGATAGGGTTGAGGCACATCGTGCGTTTACACTGGTTTGATGTTACGATCAATTTATTAGGATGATATTCAGCTTCTTCGGTGTTGCCATGTTCATACAGCGAGCTCAAGGGCATGGTGTGGTTTCATGGACAGTTTTCAATGCTTGTTTTTCTTTATACGTACAATTGAACTTTTCTTTTGGTAGGCTGCCGGTCCTCGCGTGGCTCTCCGGTTCAGCATTAAATCGTTTCGTTCGTCTTAATCTATTTTCAAGTAATAAGAATTACGACTCTATGATGAAGGGCAATAAAAAAACCATGCAGGTAAAGCTGAATCGAAAACTACAATGTGATAATAAACAATAAATCTCGAGGACGTTGAACGAGACCAGTTTCCCATTTCAAAAAAGCATTGCGCTTGCAAAATTTACAACCCTAGTGCGTGTACGGTTCGAGCAGGGTTGTTTGATGTTGATTGATACCGTTAGGCGGGNGGACAGTTCGTCTAAGATATAAGCAATAGAATTTGACTCCAAAAAGGCCTGCCACAGGCTCGAAACTGACGGCAGGTCACCGATAAGCACCCTTTCAATTATGACTAATGGTAATGATGACTAATGCCCACCCCCAGACGCAAGTGCGGAAATACACGTTCGAAAACTTCAAATACAGTTCATTTTCACGATAGTATTTTTTTTGTTATTATCATTGATAATTATCCTTTCGAACCCTGTTTGACGGGTAGTTTTGTTAAGCTGCTGATGACAGTTGAAGTCTTATTTGATTTTTAGTGGCACTAAACCTTATTTTGTCGTTTTTATTAAAAACAAGATACATAGTTTATCTATGAGTATATCATAACAATCACTAAAGTATAAACTATACACATATTCCTTATTCACTGACAAAATTCAAGGACGAAACTTCTCCAATCTCCATTGTTTTGATATAAAACCGATAAAAGAAAGTGCACTAAAAGCTGCTACTTATTTATTAGGACTACATTTGTAATTAATATAACATAATTGATAGTTATTTTCGGAGTCGGCGCCAGCTGCCATAAATGCCATGGTTAAGAAACTTATTTCGCGCCGTTTATTTTAACCCCGGTACAAGTTTCCGGTAGTGTTAACTTTTTTTAAAACAAATCTAAAAGTATAACAACTAACTAAATTATTAAAGTTAAAAATGTACAAACAGGTTGTCCCTGAAAGTGTGGATCAAACAAAAAGGATTGATTCTACGGCTCAAATGCAACTTTTCCCAAGAGAACGAAGTTAATATTAAAAAACCTTTTTGTACAAATTTTTAGTAATCAGCCAATTAGTACGGGGACTTGTTGTATTTGCATAGAAAAATAATTGATCCTTTATGATTGACTAGCTTTTGCCCGCGGCTGCACCTTTGTGAAATTTAGTTTTTCATATATCGTCAAAAATTATAGCCTATTATGTTATTCTGGGTAATCTGGGTTTTAATCAATAACAGTGTAAAATGCGTTCAGTATTTTTTGCGTGAAAGAGTAACAAACATGCAGACATCCATACAAATTTTCGCATCCTAATAATATTTGGATTGATTGGCCGAAAGTTTGGATATCTGGATGTTTGTTACTCTTTCACGCAAAAACTACTGAACGGATTTTGTTAAAACTTTACAGTATTATTGTTTATAACCCAGATTAACATATCGGCTATAATTTATGACGATATGTGACTAATACATTTCAATAAATAAATAAGAAGTGTCTAAAAAGCGCCATCTATCGTCATTGTTTAAAATCCACAGCGCTGGACAAATCACTGTTTTTGACGTTCGTAAATGTTTATGCGGGGGACTTAGATTAATAAAGCCTAGATGGATAGTCTTCTTTCATACAAACGCTTCGTCAAGAGTGAGGCAAAAATCTTATGTCATTAGTGTCAATTTTGTTGGGGAGTGTAGACAGTGAAGGCGATTTTCCCGAAAGTAGGGAAATTTTTAATACGTTTTTAATTATTTTATAATTAACAAAAACAAAACGCATTATGTACTTACTTATTTATTGAATTCAAAGTACCTACCTAATAACAATAAGATAAATCGACTTAAAAGGAAGTGTATTTGTACGGCAAACAGTTGGGAAATAAATTTTCTTGTTACTGGTATCATTCCCGTATTTAATTTTTGAAAGCCAAATTCAAGCAAAATACGCGTCGAATTGTAGTACTTACTTATGAAATGTAACACTGGTCACTTTCTTTCGTTTTTCGGATGTATTTTAGACACCCTTTCACAGCACAAACCGTTTTAATTAATTAAAATTCGTCCGACGTGTTACCAATTTTTCACTTTGACAGTTCATGTGACGTTTACGGGTGAGCCGTGCCGGCTCCCTAAAAACTGCCTCACCTTTCGTGCACTGACTATCTATCTAGGTTTTATTAATCTAAGGCGGGGGAAGCCGTGAAACGCCATCTATCAACATGATATCTAACGGCCGTAAAACGAGGTCCACGTAAAACGAGGTTCATTTAAAAGTTATCTTGGTAATCCTGGGATTCAAAAATCAGCCCTTAGTATGTTATAATCAGATCTACCTACTTACTTTTTTATTAATAATTTTATATGTTTGCGGATAAAAAAAGTTTAGCCCAATCAATTCTGCTAGCCATCAATAGCAAAAAAAAACATAGGTGGTTAAGTATATTTTAATCGTTTCTACAGAAATTGACATTCGGTTTAGAATTAGATAAGTACCTAACGGTCAGAGAAGAGATTAAAATACGTTTAAAACATGCTGATTTATACAGAGTAGTAGTTCTTTTGTGCGCGCGCACAGCTTGCCCTTATTACATAAACATCAATTCAAACTGTTGTGTGTCAAACTACTGCGCAGCATTCAGTCGCAACGCAAATCATGTAAACGGAGTACCTAGGTACACTACCTAACAGTTCATTAAAAAAATCATACTTCGGTTTTCCTGTAACACGTATGTATGCCAGATGATATAGAACCCAGTTTCGGAAACTTTCTTCTATGTATTTTGTAATTGCTGTCATTAATATTCTTTATAATAAAATCGTTCAATCGACATAATTAGCAGTAGCTACAACAGTGAATGGTAACGGGAAGCTATCATTCTAGGTCTGGACTCTCCACGTCTCGTTCTGAAATCTGATAAGCAAAAGGTGTATGTTATTATGATAATAAAAAATTGTGTAATTTATTTAATATTATTAATAACAGAATTAATAACCGATGGAGAAAATGGTTATTTGACAGCTTAGAGCGAGCTAACTTTACACCACAAAATAAACAACACACACACACACACACACACACACGCACGCACACACACACACACACACACGAAGTAAACGGATTATCTTTTTTTTCCTTGATAACATTATTCTTGTATAGCTTGGATAGTAGGAACGGGTATAGATAAATATTATGTACGCTTCTCGCATAATGCATAAAGATTAGTACAAGGACAAACATTGGGAAGGAACTGGTACCTATAATACAGGCTCGGCCTAGTTTAGGTACGTACTAGTACATTGTGTACCACTTAATGTCACCTATAAAAAAAAGTCCCTAGTTTTAGTGGTCAATGCTGGCCGTCGGCACCGACACATGCCATTATGACCCGTTCTGCACTACTATTAACGCTCGTTTTTCTATGACGCCCGACCGCTGCTCCGTTGAATGAACGTACGAGTGATATTGTCTGTGTTGACGGTAGTCAGCAAAAATGTTCACCGGTTGTTTTTTGTTTCTGTATTAGTTAAGGTATACAAGTGTAAATGTTAATGTATTTTTTAAATTCAATAAATTATTTGTATTTGAATTGGGAAGCTTCCAATTTTTTTAATAATACATGAAAATATAAGTAAAACTAATAATAATTGTGAAAGAATCATGAAAATATCCTTTCAAATAAAGAGGTTACAGTGCTCTAAAGTTGCGTATAACAAATATTCCGCGCCATTTGATCGTTGTAGTCACGGCAGTCATTCGGAGTAGGTACAAAAAATAAATCACCCCTGGTAAAGTGCTGTTGACAGTTTTTTTTTAAATCTAGTTATTTTTAATATTTCAGCCAGGGTCATTCAAGATTCTTTCTCAGTAAAATGATGTAACTTTTTTTAAAAATATCCCAGACCTCGCCATAATACAAAAAGAAGAAGAAGATGACAGTCATAATATAGTGTCATTCTTTTTCGACAACGCGTCAGGGATGGTAAGCATTGCTTTTGAAACGGGTGGCGTGACGTCTTGGCACCCTATGTTTGAGTTCCACGCGAAAATAAATGTAGGTAATTTAAATAATTAATTTCTCATCCACTTATAGGTGGTTTCAAAAAAAAAAACTTCACCGTCTTTTTAGTTTTGGTCTATAGATATTTTAATCCCATTCAGAGAAATACACTCGCGAGCAAAAGTATGGAATCACTTACATGAAGTTGCTTCCACGCGATCTTGTGTACTAACGAATTTGTTAGTAACAAAAAAAGTGACACCATTTTAAAGATTAAACTTTTAACTTTAAATTGATACCAAATTCATTCAAATCACACCAGTACTTAAAAAGATATCCCGGCTGATGTGAAGAAGTAAGGAAAAATACATGTAACAACTGTTTGATACGTCGCGAGTTGCGGCCTATTTACCCCCTATAAAAGCACGTGTTTTCGGATTTTTGCTTTCACACGTTGATCCATACACATCTCCGCTTCTTTCGACACTTTACCTGAGATTCTACACCTTCAGAAGCAGCACAAATCGTTGCACTATTGCAAGAGGGGCTCAGCCAGCGGACTGTCGCACGTCAGCACCACATAAGCCTGGGTTTCGAAAGTTTTAAGACGCTTTATCCCGAGACCAAGTTCTGAACAGCGCCGGTGCACATCGCAGAGGGATGACCGTTTTTTCACGTTAACCTCTCTATGAAATCGTCATTTGATTGGTATCGACGTCCAGCAAGAGTTTAGAATTGTACATAGGATAGCTGTTAGCGAGTGGACAGTTCGTCTAAGATATACAATAGAATTTGACTTCAAAAAGGCCTGCCACAGGCTCGAAACTGACGGCAGGTCACCGACTACCACGCTTTCAATTTCAACATCAGGAAACTTCTCCATTGGAAATGTTACCTAGTCATAATTTTATTATGATTTTTGCAAGACAGCATTCTTGCTCCAACTTAAACAAACCCCGGAAGATTGCCACTAAGGCCTAAGAAAAAAATATTTTCACCAGTTTTCAACCGTATCTTCATATCAAAATCAAAATTATCTTTATTTGTATAGACTATGTAATTAAATTAGTACTTACAAATTGTCAAATGCTCTTAAGGAGCCTATACATGTCTCATTCTTTTTTTGCCTTACCAGCGCTTCATTAGGCGGGNAAACTGATTTTTTTGGACGAAAACTAGTGAAATCGCCTCTTTTGCATAAAATATTTTTTATAAAAAAACCCGTGGTATTTACTTATTGTCATATAATACTAACGTAAAGTAGACTGTATAAGGACTAAAATGACATATGATACATATCAGTAAGGGTATTTTAAGATATTCATTTCGCATCACAAAGTTGGCAACTCCGATAATTGGACGAAAACTAGCGCACTTACCCTATAATATCGCCCAGGTAGTCGCGTCATTGGTTACCTACATTAGTGTCGAGTGAACTCGTTCGACACCTACTGACATAAATTTATCAGCCAGCAATTGAGAGACAAACAAGGCAGACATACCTACGTAGTAGTTAGTAGGCCATTAGTAAAAGGCTAACTTAGTTGATAAATGTTCGAATGCTTATTTTTTTTTCTCTAACTACTGACAAATTAATGTTTTAAAAATAAGTTGTCCCCTTAGATTAATAAAAATTAATCTAAGGTTGTCCCAAAAAATTTTGACCAAACGCTTGGCAACACTAGTGTTAGTGTAAACAATGGAATTAGAGAAACATCTTATCAGTAAGTAAATTAAATTAATTAGGTAAAAATTATTAAATCTTATTGACATGGCAACAAACCGGTATTGAAAAATCAGTCCGACCTTTTATGTTAAACCAATGTCACAGTCAGACGAAATGCACACGATTGAATATGACGTGTTTTATTATTCTACGTTTGCAGTTCTAATAAAAGAAAGGTCAAACACTCGTGTGCAATGTGACCTTGCCCCGCTATTAGTATAAAATTGTGTAAAAATAATTACTGCAATTGCAACTTGCCAATTCGATAATATCGTGTTTGTTTTGCAATTAACTGTCTGGTCACGAATAATTACAGCAGAGATAAACGAAAGGTGAATTGCTTATCGATACAAACACGAATGCACATAGAATCGAGTGTTTACATAATCTGTGCAAATTAATGCAGTTTGTTATCTGTGCAGAGATAAAAAAGTTAAAAACAGCGCGCTTACCTGTGATTCTCTTTTGCGTTTTGCTGTTTTCTGGACTTGAAACTTTGACTTCTTGCTTGGGCGCAGCCGGCTGGGGAGTGCTGATGCTGGTGATGGTGATCGGAGCTCGTCGCAGGGCTGCTGGGATGGCAGACGCTGCCACTAAACTCCACTCGAACCGCTGGTCTCCTGGCAATGGCTTTTCCTGAGCAAAGTCGAAGCCCCATTTCTGACTGTCCAATTCCAATTGCCTTGCGAGTTCTCGCTCGGCGAACCTTCTGTTCTCTTCCCTGTCTGTGCAACCAAAGAGGTTCCTCCTGACTCCATCGAGGGTGGTTACTCCTCGCACGCGCATGGACCTCGTGTCCAGCAAGGTTGTGGTCTGCAGGGGTGCTCTCACACTCAACGTCGACATCTTCAAAGTCCAATACCACTTGCAAACACAGCGACGCACTTCACAGATAGCATCCGAGACGCTCTCTTCACCTAGCAAACAAGGTCAAAATTCAGTTTAGTTATGTGAGAGAACGCGTTAAGTTTAGTGAATGGATAACTGTTTGGTTCATCACGCACTAATAGGAATACGAAATATTGTTGGTTTAGTGAGCGTAAACAAGACGAATGACGCGGCGAGACGAAATTAAACGTCACGCGTCCGACTGACGCGAGCTCTAATCGGCGACTGAAGCGCTGCGCGGAGAATGCGCGTGGGGCTGTTGCGCAACTACGGAGTGAAGTTTCCTCTGCTCCCCGCGGCGTGGCGCTACGGTTGCCTGCGCTCGAGTTTCGTGCGCTATCCGTAGGGTTCGCGCTCCGCTGCAATTTAGGCGGGTCGCTCACTGGTAAGTCGAGGCGGCGTCGCGGCGGTGGCGGCGCGGAGTCGCGGCACGGTCGAGGATTGTATCTGCCTAGAGTCGAGGCGCAGGCGACTATGCTTCCTTCACATTTTAATAAAATTCATTCGCCATGTCGTCGTCTGAAGACGAAGACGTACTCGCACTCATACAAGTCCTTAATTTAAATAGAAGACGATTTTGGGTTCACCCGTATTTGAGACAGTGTGACAGAAGGGGTTCATACAGAGCTACACGTGACTTAAGGAGGTATCCCGACAGGTTCAAAAAGTTTTATGGAATGTCACCAGAAACATTCAATTTGCTGTTGGAAAAAACAAAACATAGTTTACAGAAGAAGGATACTCACTGGCGGAAATCAATTTGTCCAGAAGAAAGGTTATTGATTACTCTAAGGTAAGTTTTTCATTTTTTTATTATTTAGGCCCGTCCACACAGACGCTGCTTGCGGTAGTGGCTTGTTTTGTAGTATGGTAGTCTAGGATTTACGAACCTATGCAAATCCACCCGGATCGACTTCCATTATACCGCTATCGCAGGATGCGTCTGTGTAAGCCCGGCTTTATTATTATTGGCGGCGCGTTCGGTTGTGCAGTAACACACAGCGCTAAACGCCTTGCGGTTGACATAATTATACAGTTTAATTACTTAAACAGTAATGCTTTTTTGTACGCCGCTCCGTTCAAAATACTGTTATACTGTTTGTTCGCTTAGCGCTGCGTTTACCGCATATCGATANGCGACCCGCCTTATATCCATGGCTTGAAGAGACAAAAGAAGAAGAAGACTTCTATGTCATTGTCGTCTCAAAATCAAATTAGGCAATTTCAGACAGAGAAAAAAACGATTAATGTTACTGCTGGTATCTAATATTATTATTTGTAACATTCCGGCATAGTCACCTGGTATGTATTCCTAAAACGCTGTTGCTCGATTTATTTTTCAATTATAACAAGCTCGCAGATAAAAAGACGAGTGTTGATTCATTTCAACGTTAAAGTTTCTTGAGATTGGAATATTGTATCCAAGTATAAAAAAGGCATGTAATACACTGCATATGTGTAATGCGGCGAGTGAGTGCAGATGTTAATGCAGGGTCTGCACCTGCCGGCGACAGGTGGGATGTTGTTGTGCGTCTGCGCACGTGCCGCCGCCACCACTATTCAGATTATTATTTTTGCTTTTAAAACCCAGGTTTTATATACCTACCTAACCCATGATGTTTTGTAATGTAGGTAAATTAAGTGAAATACATTTAATGGATTGCTAAATATTCGATGAATCACGCTCATAATGTTTTTTTCTAACATAATATGTAATATTATTTTAGTTCTAACCAGTTATTTAACGGCTGCACAAACTGCACATACATACAATTAGTTAAGTTTGTGCTGATAAAAATACCCACCGGACGGGCAAATTTGCATCTAAAGGCGTATTTGGGACAAAGGGCTAAGCTCCCTCAGGGGGAGCTTCAAAACCGTTTAACAAGATTCAAATGAACAGGTTACACCCAGCAAACAGGACAATGTGTTTAAGAAAAAAAAGAATACGAGATCAAGTCCACTAAACAAGTTCCAAGGTCAGCTGCACGAGAAAAGCTTAGAATTGATTGATAATAAAAATATCAAACGTGTTCCTTCTAAAGAAAAAAACTAAAGTATCGTTTTTGTCACCTTGTTTGTTAGATAAAAATATGCAAGTTTGACTGGTTTCAGACATGATCTTCATAATATATTTATTCCAAGGTACAAGCCGCACAGAAACTAGCCCTAAATGCAAAAGATTGTTCGGTGAAGGGATTTAGATTACCTAGTACATATAGCTTAAAGATGGCGTGGTTAAAGATGAAGTCTGCACTCATAGTAGACGGTCTGCGCATAGGTGGAACATAATTATCGGGAAAGGCCTAGCTACACCGGCTCCCATTTATGCTCAGCGAGACGTAGATGGTGGATTTTTAGTGGGTAAGCCCACCCTTCTGGAGGGGAGAGCCCCACATAACCCGCTCACCTATTGCCCGGTGAAGCTGAAAAAGCCGCTCACAGCTATCAGCAAGGTCCATCCGAAAAAAAAAAGTAGCGGGTATTTAACTCGATGCATGCATATTTATTACGAAAAAAAAAAGGTTAGTGTTTGGCGGAAGGTTAGAAAAACTTCGTGGGTGCATAGATAAGGTCATTTTAAGAATACAAGTTTCAAATTTTTTAACTAGATGCATGCATTTTTATTACGAAAAAAAAAAGGTTAGTGTTTTGCGGAAGGTTAGAAAAACTTCGTGGGTGGCATAGATAAGGTCATTTTAAGAAAACAAGTTTCAAATTTTATTTTTTTGTATGCAATCCCGCAAACTCGGAATTAGTCGGGGAATACAATCCCGAAATTAAAATCGGGATGAAATATCTTCCGGGATTCGGAAGCGAATCCTCTAATTGTGAATCACTTTCCAATAAACCCATTAAATTAACTTTTCAGTGACGGAAAAGACTTAACGTTTGATTGAAATTCTTCCGCTAACTGCTCTAAAAACGTTTTCGCGAAATAGGTACTTGGGTTGTTTTTTTGCATTAGTTTCTTATGCATCTCGATTCGCAATTCGCATACCTACAGCTACACGTAGCTAGTTCAGATTACTTGTCCATGTGTTTAGTACACTATAATATGATGTAGACTGTAGACCGACATGTAGCTCTTGTCTCGGTGCATACAGACCTGATTTATGCTATTTTGAAGCGTTAGTACCTAAGTGGTAAGTAGTTATTTCTGTATGGAACACCAACACCAAAATCTTGTTTGGCTTTATTAACACGTACACATGCTTGCATGAACTTATTTCCAAAAATTAAATTCGTGCAAAACCTATTTTAACATTGTTTCATAATTTTGAAGTGTACAAAGTCAACGTATAGACACAATATTTATCAATAATGATCCATTAAAATTAATCAAAATATTTTTAAGAGTTCAGCAATTTATGCTTATTTTACAAGCTTCTACTCGTATTTGTTTTTGAATTACCTGCCTATTAGTTAGACTAAGAGCTGGTGAACGCCAGACCTACGTCATTTTATAAAACCTGAAAGTTTGTCAGCGTATGCTCCCAATATAGGATAGAATGTTGGTGAATCTTGAAGTTTGGGTCATCGTGGCTTTGGCAGCTATCCTAAAAAACTATCTGGCAAGGAGTTGGAACTGTCAAAACTGTCTGGGTGATGGGGAAACTACTTCTAATTATTATAGCTGCCAAAGCCATGATGACCCAAACTTCACGATTCACCAACATTCTATCCTATATTGGGAGCATACGCAGATAAACTTTCAGCATTTATAAAATGACGTAGGTCTGGCCTTCACTAGCCTTTAGGCTGAGTTGCACCACCTAACTTTGACCGTAATTACTATAGTTCGAAAATACTGAACTGTCCTATCCATGACATTGACAGTGGGGCGCTACCGTCAATACCGGATCGTTGGTTCCGATTTTTGCCATGTTGGAACTTGGAAACCATATAGTTGAATGATGGTAGCGCTTCCCTGTCATTAAGTTTGGTGGGACAGTTCAGCGTGGGTCATCTACAACGATAACCGGTGCTTTTTGTATGAAGTTTGACAGATTTTTAACGTTAGTCAAAGTTAAAGTAAGATGGTGCAACCCAGCCTTAGTCTATATCCCGAATTGATTTGAGATTGCTCTCAAAGTTGATTCAGTATTCTCAATTCAAAACAAATAAAATATCTGCTGCCTCTGTTATTGTGTTATAAATTTGATCAATTCAATAAAAAACTTAGTTCATATTAAGTATAGTGGCGTGGCCTCCAGTTGATTTAATAGGTTTTCGGATTAGAAAATACTGTTTAGTAAAATTATTTTACCATAGTTGTTTTTTTTAGTCATTGAAAAATAGTTAACGTTTACCTATCATAATAGCAAGCGTATACGCGTTCTACAAGTCGGTAATGAGCTGGGACATGTATTACGACAACCAGATAAAAACAAGTTAGAAGAAAATTAATTTCTTCCATTTAATGCATATTACTTCACTAATATTTAATTAACATTAGTGAATGGATAGTTAGGTTTTATCAGTATGCGACGCAGCGCCGGGTGGGTGGTGGTGAGGCGGGCGCGGCGGCGGCATTTGGCCGTTTTGCATTGCAAGCCCGTTCTGAGCGCGCGTCGCGTTCGCCGCACTCTGCCACTCAGAACTCGGTTCACTCACTCTTCAGTCACACGGCAACACCCGCAGTTGCGCCACAAGTTTTGTTTGTGGGAATGGCTCCTTAACCTCCTCCCAACAGTTTAAGCCAAGTGTTCCTAATTTTCGATAAATTAGGATACTAAATATCAAATTATACTCACTTACCAGATAATAGTAGTGAAAACTAAACTACACTGTGCATTCACGTCGGGCGCGTGCTGTTTCATTGCACAACTCAACCGGCTTATGGCATCCAGAATGGCGAAATACCGCAGGTATGGCTACTAGGATACCTTTGTCTTACGCCTACACCTTTTCTCTTACTCGTTACTGGCTCAGTAATGTCATTTACCTTAAAAAGTTGTAATAGTACTACAATAATAAGATAGGTAGCGTCTCTAGCAACAGTGTTCAGCTGTTTTTATTCAGTAGTTATTAACAATACGTCCGTGAATCCTATGCACATGAGCACGTGGTGTGTTAAGTAAAATGGCGGCGCGGCGCCGGTCGGTGCGTTGTGCGTCCGTCCATTCGTGAATCACTCGCATATGACTGGTTCAATTGATAAAATTATTATCTTCGAGTATGATTAGGCGGTCGCGATGCGTAACTCCTAGATCATTTACGTTACATGTTGAGAGTTGGAAGTAGTCGACCGTGAAATTAGCCTAGTTGAAAGATTTATAAAATTAACATTGTTTTTAATCCTTTATTAGCCTTTGATTATATTAAATTTGTATAAAACACTTTTCAATTTCTTAATCGCGCTACATTTATTCAGAAATTAGTATTCAAAATGCAACCCTAAGCCCCTCTAGTTAAAATTACTTAAACTTTATTAATTTTTCTCTTTATATTCATCAAAGAATGTAGTATAACTGATCGCGTTAACGCTATAGACAGACATGCAAGCATTGGTGAGATAGTGCTAGTGGGGTTAACCTATTTATATCAGATCAATACTTAACCTAGTCCGTCTGGTCTATTGATTCCGCGGGGTATGACATGACCGACATCAACTGTCCTCAATTGGTTTATTAATCCAGTTAGCCATTGTTAGCTTGTTTGTAGGTACATCCATGACAAAAAAGCGGAATGTCCTCTGGAAATCGAACTACTAATAAATATGTTAAGTTTTATAATTTGTGCATTACTTAAATAATTTATTAAGTAACCCTACTGGCCCCTTTGCATGACCATGTATGTAGGTATGTACTTATTATTAAAAAATACATAAGTATTATCCTTCATATTACATGGCAATAAAACATGTTTCTTCAACGTGAGCAATGCATGTTGCCCTACCTATTATGTATGTATGTATTATGGGGTCGCGCTGGCGGGTTACAGCTAGTTAGTACATAAACATAATATAAATCGATGTAATAGGTAGGGATATGCTCATGCATGCTTATTATTATTATAATAAATTGTCCTTTAAGTGGTTTAAACTTGTAACCTTTCTATACTGGCCTAATTACTCTTATAACGGACTTAGGGTTGCCAACTTTTTTTTTTTAAATATACAGTACCTACTATATCAAAGGTCTGAGAAGGAAAACAAACAGTATTTAAAAAAAATAATAATCAGTTTTGCTCTACATAGCATACCTAAATGTAGTGTTGGGTATTTAATTTTAAAAATATCTATGGATACTAGTGGTGCTTGCCGAAAACAGTATTTTGTATGCTTTATTTTTGTTCTAATTTAGTGAAAAACAGTATAATAATAATAATAAAATAAAACCGAAGACCATAGGGACTTCGAGTAAAAATAAAGAAAACGTAATAATAATAATACTGTTCAAAACTGTATAGTTGGCAACCCTAACCCGTAACGCGCCGTTGTTGTAAAATATTGGTAAATTTTCTTTCTCACTAAAATAACTATACTTCGATAATTTTTCTTTGAAGTCAAACAATTTATCCAAGTAGGTTGGGCGTGGAAAAATATCGTTAAAAGTTGGTAAATACCTACTTACAGATTGTCTTGGATGGGAAACCTAAGAAATATGTAATTAATTAGCCAGAGTAATTTGTTTAGATAGTAATATTTAAAAAAAATAAATTACATCATTTTGGCATTACTACATTACATACCTATTTCCCAATTGCGAGGTTAAACTGTCAGTGCAGTGTGCCAAACCTAATCTTCAGTTAATTATGAGTTACTACAGGGACGATTAAAAAATCGGCTCCTAAGGTAGTACCTATGTCATTAGTTAAACTAGTGTATGATTTAGAATTCAGTATTTAAATGGTGAAATATGATTTTGTCAGTTGGTAGTTTGTTGTTAATTTACGTACGGTATTGATGACCGGCCAAATGTTAGGATACCGTTCAAGAATTTACGTTTAGAGCGAGATAGCAGCTTCAGTAGGTGTAGATAGGTAATCACGTCACTCACTCACTCACTACATACAGCCCACGAGGGGTCATGCAGCGAGCGGTGTAATGCAACGGAATTGAGTTTGTGAATGGCGCGCGGGCGCGAGGGGTGGGCAGGGAGGGGTTACCAGCGCGGACTCGCGTCTGGCGCGCCGCGGACCGCGGCCGGGCCGGGTGTTGAACGAGGGCGCGAGTGGTGATGTCATCTCCGGTGCTCCGCCATTTTGTAGCGACAAACAAACTGCGGGCCACGGTGGACGACTCGTTATTTACGATTCGTGATATATGTCTTTATATCGTAATATCTCATAAGATATGTCTTTGGGAACAATGCACATCAAATCGAGTTTATCATTCTCTCTCATCAGGTAGTTCACGCGATTTCAACCGGGTTTTATAATACCTAACAAATGTATGCCATAATCGATGAAAATGAAAGAAAAAATCTATAAATTGCAGTTATATTTAACAATTTAACATAAAAAACTATATTATTATTATCCATGAATTAACAAAAAAAAGTAACTGACCTAATAAATATCTAATTGGAATAAATTAAAGATAAAGCGGCCTATTGAACTTGGCTTGACACGCTGCCGCGTGTCTAGATCAAACCAAATGTAAAAAGTCTCATTGTCGAACATGACTACATGATAATAGTTATCACAATAATTACAATTATTGTAGGCGCGTACAAAGTTTCCTTAGATCTCTGCCATTCTCATTTTTGCTAAATAACTAACTGGCATCCATGCTTAGGCGGAGGGCCTAAGAACTGAAGTAAACCGGTACAGGGCAGCTAGCTGGGCAACAAGCGATTGCTATTGATATCGTTTGAATTGGAACCTATATCATACGTTACTGCAGCAGAAGTGCAAAAGAATGCAGATCAGTAGTAGCTGGTGGTTAGTCGTTAAGCGCTGAGAGAGCAAAAAGAGATGTAAAAACTCCATTAGGGCAAAACTTACTTTAGTTAGGGCAAGCAAAGTTTTATTTTACTAGTATGTAATACATATAAAAATACTTTGACTGAGTAACACAGTAGTAACACACACTGCTATGGTCAGCAGGACTATGAAAAAAAGAACATATTTTTGAAAAATTTTACACTACTTAGTAGGTAGGTACTATGGAAGCGAAGTAACCGATTCTGAAGTGGAACTATTCCGACAGCTGCAACAGCTGCTGTTATCGGCTCTGGCTGATAATTTTGTCGTTAATAGGTCAGCAGGCTAGGTTTTTTCGATTAATTGTTACCTACATGATTGATGATTAGGCTATTTAAGTACCTCTCAGGCCGATTTTTCAATCGTCGGATAACTTTTAACTGAACAATGAACTTGTCATGCCATCATCAATGACAAACTTATTCTTCAGTTAAAAGTTGTCCAAGGATTGAAAAATCTGCCCTTAGTCTTTTTCACCTAAGATGATTCGTATGACGTTTCAAGTTTTGATTTTTGTGATGTTTATAATTCACTGCTATCGATTAATGAACCACGGCAATAATCGATTTTTTTATATCTCAGCCCTAAATCTATTCCGTATCACACATTGCGTACTTTAAATAAAACGTATTTTTTACATCGTATTTAATTAAAATATAATCAACTAGCTTTCCGCCCGCGGAATCGCGCGCCTGGATTACATTATCTACATATTTTACGGAACCCTATTTTTTCCAAAATAAAATTTAGCCTATGTTACTCGTGGATAATGTAGCTTTCGAATGGTGAAAGAATTTTTAAAAACAGTCCTGTAGTTTTTGAGCCTATTCATTACAACATTCACATTTCAAAAATATTCTGCAAATTTAGTATGCGTAATAATAAGGATAACCTTGAAGTGTCATATTGATAATCTTAGGTGAAAAAGACTATAGTAAATGTATGTTTTTATTGTCTGGGTACATGAATCTGTAATTTGTATTTACTCACTATGAAATGATTTTTATTTGAATGAATACAAGTAGTTGTATCGCTTCTCGCAGCCGATCATCAAAGGTTCTCATCAGCGGACTTCCCCCGCATGTTCGCTTCGACAACATCGAGCCTCTGCTGTCACAGTACGGCAACGTGCAGCAATGCGACAAAGCCAGCTCCCGCGATCCCAACACCCAGGCGGTTTTTATCACGTTCGAGACTCCGGAGCAGGCGTTGCAGTGAGTATATTCATTGTTTGACGCACTTCCCACGGTCACTGGATAATCTGCTTGGTTTACTGTGTCGGGTCGACTGCTTGTTGGACTCTCGCTTCTTCTTTCACTTTCCTTCCCTTTGTTCTCTGCATGCTCTTTTTCTATCCACTCGTATGTGTATTGTATCGTATTGCAAAATGTTTTATTTACAGGCTATCTATGGGTTGTTTGGTGGATTGGATTTCGTGTGTTGTTCAAAATTGACTCACTGTTTTACAAGGATATAATAATATTAGAGTGCACCTGCTAATAATTGGCTTCTTCTAATTATTGGGTGTCTAAATATAACGAATGTCCGTCTGAATTTAAGGTGTTTTTTATAGTTAAAGAATTAAAGCAAAAGCTTAAATGGTGGTGATTTTGTTCCAGGGCTATCAACGGGTTGAACGGCTGTGAACTGGAAGGTAGCCGTATGAAGGTAGAGGCCGCCGAGCAGAACGCGCGGGGCGGACGGCGGGGACGCCCGGGCGGCGGCCGCGGCGGCGGCGGCGCGGCGGGCGGCGGCTCGCGGCCCACCGACTTCCCGCTGCGGCTGCTCGTCCAGAGCGACATGGTCGGCGCCATCATCGGCCGCCAGGGCAGCACCATCCGCCTCATCACACAGCAGAGCCGTGCGCGCGTAGACGTCCACCGCAAGGACAACGTGGGATCCCTCGAGAAAGCCATAACTATTTATGGCAACCCAGAGAACTGCACCAACGCGTGCAAGAGAATACTCGAAGTGATGCAACAAGAGGCCAACAATACTAACAAAGGGTAAACTTCAGATTATTATTCCACTTTATTATATGTATACGTATTTATAATGTATATGAATTACGTTATTTTCTTGTTATCTCATATTCAAATTTGCTTTTCAGTGATATATCCCTTCAAATCCTAGCGCACAACAACCTAATTGGACGTATCATCGGCAAGGGTGGGAACACTATCAAGCGGATCATGCAAGAAACCGATACCAAGATCACGGTTTCTTCTATCAATGATATCAATAGCTTCAATTTGGAGCGGATCATCACCGTCAAGGGCACTATTGAAAACATGGCTAAAGCCGAGTCACAGATATCGGCAAAGCTCCGTCAGAGCTACGAAAGCGACCTGCAGGTATATACTTAAAATATTTTGAAGATTCTTATTACAATTAATTAGTTCCAAATTTTAAAGTTTACATGCAATTTCTTATTCCAGGATTGTTGACTAAAATACCTTTACGTATGTGCACAGGTGTTGGCGCCACAAAGCATAATGTTCCCGGGACTGCACCCGATGGCGATGATGTCGACTGGTCGCAGCTTCTGCGGCGCTCCGCCCCCATTCCAGCCGCCGATCTACGCGCCGCTGGCCGGCCAAGGCGGCGCCCAACAAGGAGCCGGGGATAGCCAGGTAACACAGTCTTATAACACTCTAATATTCTAATACCCTCATGCCTGGGCCGCACTCATCGCGATAACCCGAAGACTCGCGCTATTGCGATGTGTGTAGCCAAGTATTAGCGTATACTTCGGTGCTTTTTTGCATAGATACAAGATTTCGTTCCGCTGTCGCCCGAATGTTATCGCGATGAGTGCGGCCCAGGCATTATTCATAATAAAGCAAACAGCATAATAAACCTATTTTAACTATTGTACTGTTTTGTCACTTTCTATCAAGTGATGACAGCACCAAGTAGGAACGAGATAAAACAATGCAATAGTTAAAATAGTTTATTAAGCTGTTTGCGTTATTATGAATAAGGGTATTAATCTTTGAACGGCATTCGTACTTTAATCTCTGTCAATAATTAAATTATAGCGTACTCGAGTATAAAGGAACTTAAATTTTTGAAGTGTTTCTTATACGTTTCTTAAAATAGAATGCGAAAATAAAAATATGTACAGCACATCAGACTATAGATTTTTGTTGCAAAATAAGTAGTCTGTATTACAAAGATATAATAAGAACTGAATTCGCACTTAAAATAAATTTTATTCTAGATAAATAAACTAGAAATAGCGCACTCGTGTGACGACAGTAGAGTTCTTATGGCTCCTTATAGGAATTGATTACTGACTGTGGCACTTCACAGCTACACTACTGCTGTGCTGCTTAACGTATTTCATTAACCTCTTCAACGCCAATGACGGATACATGCGTACATCAGGTTAACCGCCAACGATGGATTAAGCTAAGCGTCCACTTGTCGGTGTCGTGCGCAACGGACGCATCGCACGCAACGGATCGTACTATTATTTATATGGAAACTCATATAAGTGCGTCCACCTGTCCGCATCGTATGCATCGCACATCCGATACGATGTGTTTCATACGTACGATGCGTCCGTTGCGTGCGATGCCGACAAGTGGACGCTTAGCTTTAATCCGCCTTAAAAATGATGTCAGTAATAGGCTATTTTTTTTTAATCTTTTTAATAAAGATTCCCGTTAGCCCCTCGTACTAAGCTAAATACATATGCTTGTGGCACGAGTGAGCTCACCACAATAGTCGAGCGGCGGCGGGGACCGAGTAATAGTAGTGAAGTAATTGAGTATTATGTAAACTGAATAATAATGAATACAATGATTTGATGATAATGGCTTTTGTATTTGACGTGGCGCTGAAAAGGTTAATTTGATGGCAATCCAAGTAAACCATGTCATACTGTGGGCATTTCGGGTCGTGCATTGTTTAGTTACTTTCCACAGTGGCGTTAATTAGACCTGGTTATAATTTCTTGACTAAATTATCCTTCTACTGAAATAAAACACTGTAGAACGTAATGCCGCTTATACATATTTCCTTAATTAAATAATGAACATTTTGCAGACTGACTGACACACAGGTTAATAGTCATGCGATTCAAGAAGCGACAATATGACAATACATTATGTAATATGTTTTAACTTGACTAACTTAGTTGTTTGCGATAGTTAACTGTGTTCTATCTAATAATGAACTCTTAATACATGAACAGCCTTCTAACATTCGCAGATTAACTTTCGTCTTCGCAAATGTGATACTTATAACCTTATTTCTCTTCAATTTATTAATGGTCAAATAAACTGTTTCAGGAAACTACATACCTTTACATCCCAAACAATGCTGTGGGCGCCATCATCGGCACCAAGGGATCACACATCCGCAACATAATTCGGTTCAGCCGAGCGTCGGTTAAGATAGCGCCTTTGGAGCAAGAAAAGCAAGGCGAGAACCAGAATGCTCAACAGGAGCGCAAGGTCACAATTGTTGGCAGCCCTGAAGCCCAATGGAAAGCACAATTCTTGATTTTCGAGAAAATGCGAGAGGAAGGTTTCATGTCTGGCTCAGAGGACGTGCGACTGACGGTGGAGATAGTCGTTGCGTCGTCCCAGGTGGGCCGGATCATCGGCAAGGGCGGGCAGAACGTGCGCGAGCTGCAGCGCATGACCGGCTCGCTGATCAAGCTGCCCGAGCAGCCGCAGCAGGCCGGCGGCGCGCAGCAGGACCACGACACCACCGTGCACATCGTCGGACCCTTCTACAGCGTCCAGGTATGGCCATCACTCACATTTCACATTAGCAATTATCACGCGAAATATTTTCTTTCATCTCCGACGGTTTTCATAAACAATGCTATACGTTTCTCGAGGAACCGGTAAAAAAATGTTTAGGGTGTGTTTGCATTGGCGAAATACCATGTTCACAGTTTGGGTTTGGTGTGTGAGATATTGAAAGATGACACATGTAGTTACAAGTCCAGTACATTTTTTACAATTTAAAGGTGCTTCTTTGTGTTATTATGATACTACAGTTTAGGTTAATAAGATAAGTATTATACATTTATTATTGCTGGCGCAGTGCAGTGCGACTTATTTACTTATCATATATTTTAGAGTTCTTCTCACTGTGGCATAATGAGGTCTTTACATTTTGTAGCGATCTCCAGAAGCGGGATGAAAATAGAGCAGACACGGCCTCTATAAGGATTCGGTCGATCAGAGTGTTAGCCATAGAATTGGCAGTACACTATGGCTTTTAATTCCTTTGATGCCTTTCTAGGTGAGTAATTCTTTTTATTACTGAAATAACAATGCGAATGTTCATTTCCTTATTATATACTTAGACATAGTAATAAAGTTATTCAATACACTATGGTTTTTAATTCCTTTGATGACTTTATAGGTGAGTGATTATTTTAGTAAATTCTGAATTTCTGTGCGAATTTTTATATTCATAACTTGTAGGGGAAGTAATAAATTAAATCTGATTCGCATCTTATATTTGAATATGCTATGCTTTTTAAATGGACTAATGTAACTACATGTGGGTGTAAATTTGTACAAATACAACCGACGAATGGAATGATAAGTGTGGAAGGAATTATGATTGTTGAATTACTTTTATATTAGGATTTTATTTATGTTCATTGTTTTTAACTCTTCATTGTATTGTTATTTCCAATGTGCGCCATGAAAAATTAGGTCTATGGCTAAACTGAGTCAGTGCCTGAGAAGGGAGAGTTGCGAGAGGGTGGGTGTTTTTGTGACGGTAAAACGTCAGCGAGACTACAATTTCCTTCAGATTTGTATGCTTTGTCGCGTCATAATGGTGCGTCCACACTGGACGAATGGGCTCGCGCGGCAAACTCGACATCTTGCTCACTCAAGAGCAGGGTGACTCAAGACCATAATAAAAATCAATGTCACTCCCTCCCGTGTCGCTCCCATACCTCGGGCACTGATTCAGTATACCTATAGTACACTGTACTATTGTTGAAATAAAAAAAAATGTAATGAACTTAACGAAGCAACGGGGTTTTTAGCAGAAAAATTAAAGTACTTCTAAAGGTTGACAAAATGTCTTCCCTCCCTCCCTCCCTCAAAATGAGAGTTAAAATGCCTATAATTGTTTTTAAATTTTGAATTGCCTCAAATTTTAACAAAATCGTAGAAGAAAAATGTAATAAAATATTTATAGTGAATTCTATCAATATATGTATACAAATGTTTAAATGTTCCAGATATTGATTGGGGCAATAAACGATACAAATAAACATTTATCACTAAGTTTAGATTTTGTCTGGGAAGTGGCAATAGGCCTAACCTAACAGTATTTCTTTTAGGTGGTGTTTCAAGAATAAGTACCAAATGTATAAAGGTGTCAGCAGACTGCAACCACAGGCGGCACCTACTTTAACAAATCAAATTATTTATTTTTTGAAGAATTATTTATTTCAACGAGTACATTATAGGCCAACAGTCAGACTTTTTAAAGAGTTTAATAAGATTTTAATTATGTATTATACAATTTACGACACATGCAGCTGAACCCACTGCGTTATAAAGGGATCGCCCATCCGTAACGAGGTAGCTTATCACGAGCGAGGGGTTTAAGGGACGGGACAATTGTAATTTATGCAATACAAATTACTAATAAATAATAGGTATTATTCTTTAGGTAGATAGAAAAGAATTCGGTAGGTAGAAAAAAACTGTAATTACATAAACAGGCAGAACTGCAGAAGTGATATCGGCTGCTTTCGAAAAAAAATAAAAACCGAACAACTAGTAGTCGCTTGCGGTTGCCGTCTGTTGCTTTTTAATTTTACACCTTTCTTAGTATCACCGTTATTTCAATTGTTAAATACTGGGGGTATTTTTCTCGAAATTAATTTAATATTTATTCACATTAGCTGCATTACAATATTGTTTTTATCAGCCTAAGTAAATACACATTTGTACTGGCTTATTGGTTAGCAACATAGTAATAATTGATAAGTACCGTTACAATGCAATTTTTGCTATCTACTTAATGATAAATCGTAGACGGGGAACAATTTGGAAAAAAGAGATTCTTATTCTGTGACAGCATTAATGTCTGTGTTTGCAATCGTCTATTATTACCCTGTGCTTAGATCAGGGAGCAGTAGCCTTATTCACGTAACAAAACTTCAACGACAACAAAACATTGAGTTGCGATCCTATCGAGTATAGATGACCCACGCTGAACTGTCCCACGAAACTCTATTATTGTATTTTGGAACTCTGGATCCATGACATTTACAGCGGGGCGCCACCGTCAATACGGGATCGCTGGTTCCGATTTTTGCCTTGTTGTAAACCATAAAGTTGAACGATGGTAGCGCCCCCCTGTCATTGAGTTTGGCGGGACAGTTCAGCGTGGGTCATCTATACGTGAATTATGCCACAGGTTGCGCCTTATTTAAGCTGTGCTTTAGTTGCGAAAGTAGCCTTATATTCTGTGTTTGATTCGTGATTGTTGTTCGCAGTCGGCTCAGCGCCGCATCCGCGCCATGGTCGCGCAGGCCAGCGCGCCGGGCCGCCGCCGCGCCGCCCCGCCGCCGCCGGCGCAGCAGTAATCGGCCTCCGCTCCCCGACCACACCACCTCACCCCCAGCCCTCGCAACACATACAACCTGCCAGCCTCGGCGTCTCCTGAACGCAACATGGCTAGTAACATTTACTCTATTCGATCACAGTTTGTGGTTAACACTGGTTTTCAAATCGTAGATTTCTACTTGAACACTACATATACAGGCTGTTGAGTTGACAGCGTGTGTCCAAATGTTGTTGTTGACATAATTATATTATTGTAGTGAATTGTAAGTAATTACTATTAATAAATCCATATTTTATCCCGGATTATCTATGTTGACAATGATTAATATTTGAATATAATATATATTATATATATACTTTTAATATACACAATTTTTTTTGTCGAATATGTCAGTTATATGAATTAGTGCCGTGAATATATTTAATTGTTATATTGTTTTTCATACCATGTTATTCTGCTACATATTGTGAAGAGTTGACTAAGAATGCAATAGTTAATGATTCTGTTCTCTATATACATATACACATGTTGATAACAATAGCTATTATAATATTAGAACCACATCATTATTATACTAACGAGAGGAAGTACATATTTTGTTTTGTTATAATAATAATAATAGATTAATCTGTTGAGAGCACTTCACTATACTGTTGAATATTATTTAAAGGGTGTGTGTGGGATAAGATTAGGAACGGATAAATACACACGATATCGTTTTACCGAGGAGGCTCAATAGACGAACAGATGTTTAGACGAGTGTAAGAATATTTTCTTTGAAACGATACATGGAATTTCTGCATGCATGCTGATGAGAACGTGTTGTACTATGGTGTTATGGATTCGACGTGTGCGTTGGGTGTTAAGTAACTAATCCAAAGAGTGACCGCCGATCCGGTGTGGAATCGGCAAGGTAGCGACGAGCCTTGACTAGACTGCGGCGGCGCCCCGCCCGCCGCCGCGCGCCCCGTGCGCTCTCTACATTACGGAAACGATGCATCCACTCCATGTGGATATAAATATTTTTGATATACTAGTAATTGTTGGAGAATAAGAATTAAACTTATGAGTTTTAATTTGTAAGTGACATTTGTTGATCGTTTTCTTTGTAATTTTGTCTTTGTTAGCTTTATAATGTTTTCTTGTATTGAAACTTAAAGATTTGAAAATTAATACGATACCGTAGCGTATGGTGCGAGTGAAAACGTATTATTTGGTTCTATCATAATATGTTTTATTATTCAAATGTACGATTTGCGTTATGTGCCAAGTGAGATATTTAATTAACTATGAGAGATTAAGATTAAGTGAATAATATCAAAATTAATGAAAAGCTTAGATATTTATATTTATAATTGTGATAATAATATATGGAAGTTTTGGCAAAAAAAAAATCTGAGAATGTATTACATTCTTATTTCCACTTGAATTTTAGGTTAGATAACTTTTTAATTTTGGTAAGGCAGTAGGTAGAGAGTCGCGGAACAAGTTCCGCGGCACTTGACTTTGCCTGTCTACTATCAAACCCCAATACCGCACATCTGTCTAAAGACATACTGCTATCCCAAGTGCATCAAAATAATTTTCATTTCATATCGATCGTAGGATCTCCCTTACGAAGGGTCGCGGCTTAGCATCATGATGATTGAGGGGTCTGAAGAATACATTCTTTAGTTTTTTCATTGAATTACTTTCTCAGTATGATTCCTTGAAAGATACTGACTATCTCTAACTGGTTTCTCCATTAGTCATGACTGGCTTTGGATTTACTTCTTAACTTTTGTAAATTGCTTCCACATATTATTGAAAGTATTTTGAATCGATATCTCTATTGGCGTTTATTTTAATGACAGTATTTATGTCGCGCATTAATGATTAACGCTATACATACATTAGATTTGGAAATGGTTTTTAATGAAATGAATACAATGTTTTCATGTTCATATATTTACTTATATTTGGCATTTATAGAATTTTGTAATGATATGTAATTGGAAAAATAATATCGGCTTATTATTTTTCATACAGTATTATTTCACTAAGAAAATGCACCATAACGCAGTTTATATGTATTTAAAGGGTATGATTACTTAATTGGTCAAATTTTAGTAAATTTATAATAAAAAAAATAGTTAAATTAAAATTACTGGCTCACACTCCTTAACACTGGGAAAATTGCCATCTATAGAGAACTGCACCAATTGTTACATCTTATCATAAAGTACATAGTTACTATCATAGTACTAGGTGATGTTAATAAAATAAGGTTCCTATTATAATACCTACCTCGCTGTTGTTTGTTATAATGGCTAATTTTATAGTACACATTATTCTTCGTTTCCATTAGAGTTGTAATCTGGTTATGAGAGTCAATTTTTTCAGAGTTTAGTGAAATATTTGAATTTTCTATCAAGCTTATGTGATTTATGATACGACACGGTGCAGTTTTCTTACACGCTACGGAAATTAATGTTTAACTCGCTTCCGTTGAATAGTAATTCGGCTTAGAATCAAAATATGACAGCATTAAAGGTTGTACTCAGATATTAACTCACTCTGCCGACATATCAATACGAACTAATACAAACATCTCTGCCTCAAATCGCAGAAGGAAAGTTGTTACTGCTGATGCTTCTTTGTCCAAATACCATCAGGGCATGTGTGTGGTTAAACTAAGGGGTTGGTTACTATATCGGTCAAGGTACGACGACAAACTGCGTACCTATTCGCTTATGACAATTTTGTGAGTGATTACTGATAAACCAACTATGGACACAGTAAGGCACTGTCACACAGTTATCTCGGATTTTTGCGGTACAACATTTGCATTAACATCATACGTATCGGCTAACGTTTTTGAGTGAGTGCGCCTTACTGTGATGCCGCCGGCCTTTTCATAATAACATTTTCCACATTGCACTGCATAGCACTTTCCTCATTACGAATTGATAGACAATGTATTCAAATGTGTACATACAAATAACGGTATATATTTATACCATTCCAACATTACAGTTCCTACAAGACTGATAAATCGCGGTGTGCGTCTAGGTGGCTACTGGCTAGACGCACACCCTGGTCTTTGAACTAATATTGATAACTACTAGCAACTATTGACAATAGCTGTATCACTAAATAACTGCAGCATATTTGCATTGACCAACTTAATATGATAGTGTAAAATGTTTGGTTGTAAAGAACTTTTGGCGGGAATTTGGAGTTTATGTCATGTCCTGAGATCAGTGTTCACATTGCAGCCAAGTTGGATTGTTTACGGTTGCGGATTAAAGCTGCAGTGTGCGTAATCTCTTACCACAGTAGATGTATTCATTGTAGTCATTGAGATTTTTGATTCTAAATATACGATAGCATTTAATTACTATTTAACATTCCATTATACCTAATAACATCTTATTGCTGAGGAATTCGTTTAGGATCAAATCTCTCGGTGTGCATTTAAAAATATTTGGAAATTTGTATTTTAATGTTATGTGGTAAGTATTTGTAATAATTGTCTATTGGTCAATGACCTCAAATTACATGATGTACAATTAATAATCACGGTGTTAGCAGTTATTTATACATTACGAAAAAGTATTTCATTGTCAACTAGGCAAATTACATTACCCGTGCGCCCTACCGTGGTACTCGATTCAAACAAGCATATATATTATGTATATGGTAGTTTGAACGTGTTATTGCGTTTTTACAGTACCTTTATTGTTGCGCACGAGTAGTGGTAATTCACCCTAGTCTATGAGATAGTATATTATGCATTATTGACGTTTCAAGTTATGTGTGTTGAATTTGTATAGAATACATGTTATTGTAACATTTCCACACTGATACATAATTGTATTTAATATACACTGGACAAAATGTTATGGCTTGTGTCATGTGTCGAACAGGGCATATAACCCGCTAACGACCGTGGTCAAGTGCGGTGCCGATGTGCTACTAGGTCGCTGTTAGACACAGGCAGCCAGATTCCGCTTGCATCGGCTATCTAAATGGAGTATAATAAGCAGTTACTTTCACTACGACAGTGTACATATAGGCATGTTGTTTATTCCTTCCAAATGTAAGCGAGAGGTACATTATGATTTCTAATATGTTTAGGATGCAGAAATAGTTTTAGTTGATTAATTGTATCGTTGTGAAGTAGTGTTAAGTTGAGGGTAGGCGCGGGCGACGCGCGGCCACGAGACTGAACTACAACCTGCCGCTGCGCCCCCGCGCCCTTTTACTTACATGTCATTAACGCTAATATACTTTATCATTCTTGTTTGGTTCTACTGTTATTTACGTTTTAATATTACCTTCTCATGTGTGTAATCACTTTTTGTGTATTTGAAGTGTGAACGACTGAATTCAATTTCATTTTATGTTGATTTTCATTGATTGAGGGAGTAAGATATATTATGAATAGATGTACCTTGCATGTAGCGTCGCAGCATCGAGGCGGGCGCGCCGCGCGTGCGCCCAAGTGCCGCGCCGCGCCTGCCGACACGCGCACGGCTTGTGTCCGAGCGTGTTGTCAGTTTCCTACATAACTTCACAGTTGCATTTTACTACAAGTGTTTATTGTTACTTTTGTCTCATGAAAACTGTCCAATATAAACTTCACAATATTGTTTTACAAGCTTTTATTTAACTTGCAATGTATGTATGTATGTCTGGGTCAAATCTTGCAAGCTTAATTAGACCCACTTCCTGACAACCGTTTTGAGCAGTAATTTTGCTGTTATTCGGATGACAGTGCAATTAAATTGTCATGGAGCTGGTCTAATGATGGAGCTGAAAGGTAGAGATAGCAACTCTGTGACGAAACAATGAAACCCTGTCGAGTTTGGGCTCATTTGATTTGTCTAGGAAAGTTTTTAGAGCATTTAAATAAAAGCTTGTCCTTAAAAAAGGTTTAATTCATTATTAATTTTTCATACAAGATTTCTTGTACCGCCAAAATTTTCTTTGAATTTTGCTGTTATTTTTAGAACCATTTTATAATTGGTATAAGTTCTGAAACTAATAACTACCTCAATATTACTAAATGAATATGATAATTATCTTTGTGCATGTTTTTGGGAACTGAATTTAAATTACGAAAATCAATAGAGTATAAGAACGCTATTTTAAACATAGTAACAGAATTGTCAAAATTAGATTTCGTAAAGTAATAAAAATGATGAAAATTAAAGTGTTCTTATTAATAAACCCTTTATTTAGTATTTTTTTACTTTTGTAAACAAATCATTATTATGAATTTGCCATAAAAATGTTTTAAAAATTGTGACATATTTCCTGCTGTTAGCTTAATTTGTCTATTTTCAACCGACTTCAAAAAAAAGGAGGAGGTTCTCAATTCGACCCGTATGTTTTTTTTTTCTATGTTTGTTACGCGATAACTCTGCCAATTATGAACCGATTTGAACAAATCTTTTTTCGGCGTATATGTAATACCTCAAGGGTGGATGTGCATGTGGATTGAGTGATCCTTGCTTCAATCTTAACAAAAATCGAGGAAGTTTTACTTAAAATATGTTAAAACATTGCGATGAAGTTTAAAAATTTGTTAAACCTAAGATAAAAATGTTATGGCCAATAAATAGGAGCACTCATACCGCACGCTTTAAGAAAACGTCAACATGTTTATTTCAGAAAATAAAGCTTTTCCACTTCTTTTTATAGTATTGAAAAATTGTTAAGAATATGTTAAAACTATTAACAAATTCAGAAATTCCTTGCACGTCCCGTTCCAAAGTTATGACGATTATTTAGGATCACTCACACCGCACACGGGCCGTATGAGTGCTCTTCAAAATAATGACTTTTTATTAATAAATACGTTTTATTTCTGTTGGGAAATGTGTGCAAACTGACGAGCGAATTTGTTAAAGAATAAGTGTGACAAAACTTAAAAGCTGAAGGAATAAATTAACCTTTATTCTTTCCTCCAATATGCCGTGTGAGTGATCCTTACTTTTACCTCTATCTGCTCATAGGAAAATTGGGGATGAACTTTTTTATACGCAATATCTCCGCCGATTATAAATCAATTTGAACGATTATTTTTTTGTTGAATAGGTATTATCAAAAGGGTGGTTTCATGCGAATTTGAAGAAAATATTTCACCCCCAAGGGTGGAAAATTGGGGATGAACTTTTTTATACGCAATTTTTAGTTTTTTTTTGTGTTCACGCATTTGAAGTCGGTTTTATTTTTTTTAAAAGTTATGTATTATGATGTCTCGTTTTTAAGGTGGCTTTAATTTCAGAGTTAGTGATAGGTACCGTATTTTTTTATTTTTTGTCCAAAAGGTTACGTTTCAGTAAACGCTGATTGAATTTGGTTAGTCTTCATTTATGTAAGTTACAGGCTTCACTGAAATTATTTATTCAAATACAGAATGTCGTCTTTGAGCCAAAACTTAAAATATTTCTAAAAACTGCATGTTGTTCTTCTAATATTTGTTACTCAATAGAGGTCCACCCATTACGAATATCTTCGCTAGGTACCTAGCAATGGTAATGTTGCTGTCAAGGCTATAATTTTTCTCTTATCTTTTTTCTTGTAAGCTTTAAAGCATTCCTTTGGTTTAGGACAGATTAAGTTTTAGGTTTTCAGCGCCACGTCAAATACAAAAGCAAATCACTGACGCGATGACGCCACGCTTGATAAATTATGATATCAATATAATGAGTGCATTACCCAGCAAAATTTTTATAAATTTTGTGCTTTAGAGAGTCGAGAGTATAGCAGAGAATTAGTCCATCGTGAGCAGAAATTTTTTAGCTGTGTGGTGACGGCAGAGTAGAATACATTTGTCACCAACCCCTACTCTTCCCGCGGGTGTCGTAAGAGGCGACTTAGGGACTACACATCAAACAGAGAATGGGCAGCAGCGCTCTCTGAAAAACATCAATCTTTTAAACTGCGATCTCCAACCCGCCTGCCAAGCGTGGAGATTATGGCAAAACCCTCCACTATAGTGGAGGAGGCTCATAGTCCAGCAGTGGACTGTAAAGGGCTGTTGATGATGATGATGAGCAGAAATTTGTCCACTAATAGCAAAATTCGTTCAAATTATAGTTTTAAAGTTATTAGGAAAAAACAGATTTTGCAGCAAAATTTTTTTTTTAAAGTCGTTCTATCCCGGAACCAAATACATGGATAGATAGCTTTTGTTGCGTAGTAATTTGTCCACGAATAGCAAAATTTGTTCGTGTTCCGGTTCTCAAGTTATTCAGAATTTTGCTGGGGTAATCGTAAATGGCTCAACGCAGAAGTTTGAAAAAAATACCAATGATAGACCTTGATTTGTTCAAACATAAGTTATTGATTTGAATGATAAACACCAGTGTAATTAAATAATTTCGAAAATCAGATAAAAACGGATTTGTGAGTAAACCAGTACTCTTACAATCGAATAAAAAAGGTGTAGCATATACCCTTTGTACACCTTTGTGATGTGGCTTGGCGCAACAAAGAGATTTCAAGAAATTTAATTCAATTTAACAGTCTTTACTTTCGTGACCGAATTACGCAATTCCCTTATAACAAGGGAACATGGCATACAATGGACAAATTAAAATGTTCCTTGAATAAGCTATCCTATTAATTTTAGCTTGATATTACGTCTTATAAGGAAGTTATTGAACTGCAAAAAAATACCAGGAATTCTTCCATAAGCCGACCAAATTATAAAGGTTACAGAAAAGCGACCTCTCCATACATAATCGTTGCCATCTTAAATGAACGGTATAATATAGATGTTTCGTCAGTACAGTTGCGAACAAAAGTGTTGTGTAGTTGATAGATCAGATTATTAAAATAATAAAACATTTAATTTTTAAATACATTTATTTTTTTACTAATATTTTACATTTACGTTGTGCAATTAGCGGCCAACAATTTTATCATTCTAGTGGTTTCGGAGCCTATTCAATACAAACATATTATAAAAATAGAAATCTTTCCTCGTGGTTTCGATTACAAACATAAAAAAAATACAAATCTTTCATCTTTTTGTTAACCCACCAAAAATATTTTCATATAGGTACACACCTTAGTCAAAATATGTGGTTTGGGCATGAAGTCAAAGTCAAAGTCAAAATTTCTTTATTTGTTTAGACTAAAGGTTGCAACTAATTGGTTTCGGAGCCTATTAATAAATAAAATAAAATGAAATAAAAGTGTTTATTTCTAACAATTTTACAGTACTTAACTAAATCAAATTAAATTATCTCCATTTAATACAAAAATACAAGAAAACAAATCATTCCCCTTTCCTATAGATAAAATCCTTAATTCTTCAGTAATCATTACACATGATATTATGAGACATTTTAAAGAAAATAAAGACTTGTCGGCATGATTAACGCCCGTATTCAACATTACTATGAGGTCTCACAGTGCGCGCGGATGCACACAGGGTGACACACGAAGTGACACTGTCACCGGAAAATAACAAGACTCATAAGTTGATCAATTTTCTAGGTAGTTGATCAACTCTCGGAAAATAATAAACGGCATTTGAAATGTACTATTTAACGTATGTATTTTAGTAAGTTGATTAATTTACGGCGTCTTGCCGTTAAATCATCCGACAAAGGCAAGGTGTACGGTGATTGGTTAAAAGAGTCACGTGCTTTTATACCGCTCCCCGCCACCCGGCAGCCGCCATTACCGGTTTAAACGTAAACAAATATATCTAGTCCGTACTTGTTTTTCTTTATTTACAGTAGCAAATTTAACAATTGTTGTTTTGTTTGGTAATAATTCTTATTATAACGCGTGATTTTATTTATGATGAGTGAAATGGAGTCCGTAGTGGTAGAAATAAACGAACAATCAGTGAGCAATACTAGTTTTGTCGATCGAGAACACTTTGATGCAGAGTTACAAAAGTACTACAGTGGGCTAAGTACAGAAAATAAATAAACTTATTATTTTCTGTACTTAGCCCACTGATTGTACTGACTGATTAAACTGATTATAATACTTATTATTAATACAGTGTGAGTCACGTTAAAGTGTACATATGAAAATAGATGAAACTAGACCTATTTTTATCGACAAAAAAGAGGACAAATTTTTTTTTAATTTTTTTTTTAATTTTTTATAGAATTTTTTTTCTTCCAATTACTTATTGTAAAGAAAACGTAATAACTTTTAAACTAAGCGGTATATCCTGATAAAATAAAAACAGTAATAATACTAAATAACAGGCGATACTTTAAAAATTCATAAAATACACAAAAAAGGCCAACAAATAATATAAAAATATATTTTTTGAAAAAAATCTGCTTTTAAATTCGTGTTTTTTTGGTTATTTGATAAATTTCTTCAAAAAATGCCCCTATAACCGGTGGTTTTTATAACTTTGTATTATTCTCTATCGTATTTCCTTCATAAAACCAAAAATCGCATGTCTCTATCCCTATCACAACGTTTGCAATGATCGTTTGAACTAAGCCTCTCCGGGCGCGCCATTCCACGGTTGGTTAACA